GGCGTACCCGGCTAACAAAGAAACACATGGAAGGAAATGGCAACTGCATATCTCACTTACAACACAAATCTATGACTGACTGAGTATGGACTATGTCTGGCTGCAACGAACACCTTCCTTTGCCGATTAAGACCTTTTCAAGGATGTCACCCTCATTCGGCCTAGCGAAATGCTCAACAACATATTGAGTTTGAACACGATCGATTTCATTCTATCGCATCACGACCCTCCATGGCTAAACTACATAGGTGTCTCTATCATCTCACAAGGATTTGACACAATTCATCCGGTAGAACTAGATCTCGGAACTTGTATTGACTCGAGATCAGTTCCCGAAATCATGCTTATTATAAAGGCTTCGCCTCAGTCCCACACAGATGGGTAATGTGGGAGACTTCACGGTATTTTTACCAAAATGGCGGATCAGAAGAGGGTATGCTCTCCATTCCTTAGGAAGGGAGCCATGAACTATCGCTAGAAGTAATTTGATCACTAAAAGATTTATATCATAAACTAACCTTATATTTCCAATCCTCTCTACCCATTTTGAAGTCACAATATCCGCCTTCTTCATCGATAATTAAACCAGATAGAAACAGCCATGGAAAATTATAAATGAATGAGAAGACCCATATGCCACATATGATCACCTTTGCTCTCTTCACTGTACATATGGTTCTGTAAAAGAGGTTAAATCGACACTCAACATCCTCTGAAATTACTACATTGATGTCGAAGATGAAACCCGAAGCAGTAGATGTGTCGCCTTCCTACTTTGCGCTAGATAATGGTTAGAGAGGGAAGAGCGACAATCGAGAAGCAAAGCCTCAATTTATTTACCGCATGTCGATGGTATTTGTCAGAACTTAAAGCCTTCGAAATGATGCAGTATGGTAAATGGTTCTGTTTCGTTCTGTCCTACATAGCTCATTGACCGTTACAAATTCGTCAATTTGTAAATTCATGATATGATAAGAAATCTTTTTAAAAACTCTCATTGTAGACCTTGTGCAGAAAGAGCGAAGAGAAAAAGGCATGTTAGAAACTTTAAGCTCGGGCATGAGTCACCGATCTGCTGAGTTACGGTTAAAGCTCGAGCCTTTCGCCTCCTTCCCATTGGCCGTCAGCGTCATCAAGGAAAAACAAAAAAAAAAAAAAGAATGTGGAGGGAAGACCCGTTTGCTTCAAAAAGGTGATAAACACTGAAGACTGGCTATTTCAGTCATGTGTTTCTGTTAGGCAGAAGCATGATTTCTGTTAAAAATGTTTAAAAAAAATATATGAGCTGAAATCAAACCTGGCCCAAAACGGATGACAGATGCCGATAAACCGCTCAACAGTGAACGCTGTGATGGAAAGAGCTGAAGAGTTGATGGCCAAGTACGGCAAATAGGTAAATAACGAACAACCTTAAAGAAACTATGTATTATCAGCGTCGAGAAAGAGTGATACATGGACTGTTTTGTAGCGGCTAAACTGAAGGTCGTAAGCCCCTAGACTTTTCTACAGTCAATAATGGGCTTGCGATCCATCGTGACTGCGATCTAGTGGACTTCAACCCATTGCGTACCGCAGTGTTTTGCGCTAGCTGCCGCACGTGCGGGGCGTTTCCTTCAAAATCGACGCGAGCGACGTGGTTCACGGCATGCAGCACTCAGCCACACAGAGCGGTTTTTCAAGCGAGTCGCAAAGTATGGGCTGTTCGAACTTTTTCGAAATCCTAGAGTGATTTTGGACGAAAATGAGGGCGCGCAGAGGCAGAGGGGCGTGCTTCACCATGTGCAGCACACGGTACGCAATGGGTTAAAGAGGAGAATAAGTTCAATTTTTCCTTCAAAACCTTGCCTGCAACAAACGTTTTGCAAGCGTTTAGGACACATTTTATGGAAAAACAAAACGAGCGCATGCATCAAGGATACGAACCTTGATGCCATGTCTACCTGTCCACTACACTACCCGCTCGGCCACCACTGCACAGGTACGGTCTTTGTTCGGCTCGGTGATCCGTTCGTTAGTGTGGTATAACACAGGGAGTCATCGGTCCCGTAACTTTGTTCCCAGAATCGTTTAGCAGATTTGGAACACAGATTTGAGATCAGCGTTCGAAACCATCTACGGGGGAATACATCTCATCTTGAATGGCCACTGCGACCAAGTGTCCTTCCCTTGTTAGTAATTCATTTCTTTTGAATCTTCTATTCGCAGGCAAGCGTATTCTTCAGTTGCTTCTTGTTTGCTTATGATTTTATTATTCTCTTTATTTTTCCAGTCGTATGCAATGGCAAGTAAAACGAAGTGCGCTTATTTTGTCGTACGAACAAATTGTAGGCCAAATATGTGGCGTGACCGGGTGTGGTGCAGTAGGAACGAAATTGTCGCGTCGCGAGAGGGATGCCGTGTGGAATATAGCTTAACGCAGCAGCAGGTAAGAAATACAGGAACAAAGGAGCTAACAGTAGAAACGCCTTAAATAAGGATCGCATATCGATTGAGCTGTATGAAGAACGCTAGAGCTGTAATAACGGCGAACGAATGGTCCGCGGCAGCCGCGTGCGGCGAGTCAATTACAGGAAACCGTTCCTACTGCCCGTCTCCCGGCGTGACCTACCTTGTGGGCAAAATCTCACGCTTCCATGTACCGTACAAGTGCGTACAATGGGCTTGTACCTTGGGTCAATCTAAGGGTGGATTCAAGCAATGAGGATCGTACCGCACAAACACCACCCATTCGCCCATTTTCTACATCCCCATGAAAATTCGCAAGTGCCACAAGAAAAGTGGTGGCATATTATTTATTTAGCTGTCGTCGAGTGAGATTGTGAAGTAATTCAAAAGTCTAAAACACTGGAAACTCAAAACTCACACAGTGACCCAAATGGGTAGTCTTTTGTGAACAGTGAGGAAAGCTCCGTGGGTGTGGTTGCAATGAAGAACAGAGTATCACTAAACGCCAATGACACCAAATAACAATTAGTCGGAGTTTTCTAAAAAAAAAGCGAGTCACTGAAGATTTTAAGCTAAATTGGCAGAAAAACAGAGAGCCTCAGCTTTCGACAATAACATTCACCCTTATTCAAGTACCCTGTGATAAGTAAAACTTATCGTCCATGTAATTGCGATTTCTGTCTTCGACATTTTTCCTGTTTCAGTCTGTTTGTTCAATAAAATAGCTTGAAGAAGTAAAAACGGGGTGTTTAGGAAATCTAAGAAGGCATTCATCGAAAAACCACAGCAATTAGCATTAGTTCTAATGACAGTGATTTTTTCGAACTGTGATGGATATTCGCATCCCTCGAAGGGGTTTCTGAGTGATCGATCAGATATTGACGAAGTGAAACCAACGTGCTGTAGCTAAAAAGCGTTTTGAAGAAAATGTTTTCGATTTACGCTACGTCTGAGCCCTTCATAAGCCTTGCTTTGTTAAAAGAACTTTTGAGCAGATTGTTTTTTTGGTCACTCTTCATCAGATGAACTCTTAACACAATTAGGTTTCCAATTTCTACTGCACCTCAAAACGAAAAACAATAAAACCTATTAAATAACTTGTTAGGCACTTATTGAAAGTTCAGAGATCAGCGGCGGTGCTTTAGCATTAAGCAAGTTTTTTCCTTTTGGATAGGTTTCACTCGAAAGCAAGGTTTTTAAATGGGTATGGAATATAATATTTGGCCAACATAGTCAAAAAGGAAAGTTTTGTGCCTCAGTATTATGTTCATGGGCTCCTTGGGAAACTCCCATAGAACTCACATTTAACGATCCACATGACTTAATTGATCAAATGGGAATTTAAACCTGTCTGTCGAAGGCCAAGCTCGATAATTTCAGGGTATCTAGCCTCAGACGAGTATTGGAAGCGAGAGTGCGAAATAGGGCAGAGTGACGAAAAAACGCGAAAATCGGAAAGAAANAAATGTAAGGCCTCGAAAAAGAAGTAGAGTTAGAGGTTGAACGTGAACGTGATGACAAAAACAAGCTGTCAAATGGGGGTGCCATTGCATACAGCTGGCCACAGTAAGCTGCCTGCGTGCAACGTGGGGGTCCCGGTGCGAGTGGTGCAACCTCTACAGCCTCTAAAAAGCTTCAAAAACTCGTCCGGTTTTCGAGGCTTTAAACTTCCAAATTTTCAGGTATGTACGTCGGCTAAGCCGTTTTGTGGCCCTTATTACCCCCTGTCTAGGCATTTTTCGATCCGACAGCGTCTGTTAGGCTACCCTTTGGAGACACGAGTTCGTTCCAGGGAGAAATCTCAGAAACCATGTTTATCGTGAACTGTGCCTTCAAGGAAAAACAATTTTTTCCTATTCTTTTTCTATCTTTACTACTCGTGAGATACAGGGCAAGGCTTCTCAAATTACCTTCAAGACTGCAAACAATTAAATCACGGGAGTGTTTTTTGCTTTATTTTGTGACATTACATCGAGGATAAGCGTTCAATCTCGAGTAATAAGCTATAAAAAATAAATAAAAATGGCATAAATCTAGTCATTACAACTCAATTCAGTCTACTTTTTATTTTAGGCTTTGAAAGTGCGCAATCGTTATGGGAACACACATAATATACAAAAATATAAACGTGACTAACAGTAGGTTACGTAAAATAAATTGAAAAGGGTAATAAACAGTGCACTTGTTGAAGAAGTTCATTCAATCCATAGTTCATCGATAAAGGAAACTTGGCATGAATGCCACTCTTTTCATTGTGAAATTGTTTCATAGTTCCCTCTCCCTTTGATGGTGCAACCTCTTTGTCGAAGATCCTTCATTTATGTCCGCCTGCAACTCCTGTATGCATCGTGAGGAAAAGCGATCTGACGGCTCTTTTCATCCTTTGCATTGCTTATAAACCGCATCCCACTTCCCTTGGCGGGAACCCTGGGCTGCTTTCTTGTTCTACCTGGGTTCTATCACTAGTGAAACACATTTCGGCTGTCGCTACGCAAAAGTGTGGGCGTTCAAGAGGCACCACTGTCGTCCTAACTCTTTTGCATCGACTTCATTACTATGTAAATAGATGAAAGATGGTCTGCACACGGCTGCATCCCCACATCGCCAGTCGAATACTTATGTAAGTTGAATAAACGGTCAAGTTATTACATAAGTGACCAACTTGGACCGTAATATAACGTAATGACGTCTGCAACATACCGTTTGTTGCACTTAAAGTGCCTTCGGGCACAAAGCCTATAAAGCTGAGAAAAAACCGTAGCATACTAGGTCACGCCCAACGGAATTGCCGTGAAAGTACCAAGGTTCGATGAACTTCCACTTTAGGCTTTGTGCAAAAGGTCAGAATATGAAGCCCCTATAGTGTGACCGATCAAGCTATTCCGTTGACCCTCACCTCGTTTCTGATCGTTTCATATTAGCGAGCCAAGCCTCGGTGATTCATGAATCTTGTCAGCCTCGCCGAAGTAATAATTATTGAGTAAACAAATTAGTGTCTTCCGGTGAGCTTTGAAAGTAGGCACTAGTTCATTTATTTATTTTTTCGAACACTATCACCTAAGTACGCCTACAATGGTATATACAGAACAGCAAGAAGCATTTGAGCAACTCAAGAAGGAATAGAACTGAATCAGTTGTAGTTTAGTTTCTGTAATGTTCCTAAAAAATTAAGAGTAAAATAGTTGATCCTCATATTTAGTAACGATTAATCTCAATTTCAACTGCCAGCTGATCAACTTTCTCGATACGTAAGGACTTCTCTTTCGAGAAAAAAACCTCACGAACTGCTTAAGTAATACATGTCCTTTTTGAAAGCCAAATAATCTTGCTATTTGTGTCACTGCTGTAGCATTTTACGTATGTTGGGAAAAAAAAAATGTAGAATTCAAGATACCGCTTCATGCTGGTCTGCCCATCAGCTTCACTCATTCAGAGTTTTATTTAATCTTTTCATTTTGAACGTCTTAACGTCAAGCTGAAATAAGGATGACAAATGAAATAAGAGGATTCCTCGAATTAGGAAACAGCAAAAGATAGAAAAGAAAATAAATCCAAGAGTTCAATGTATAAATTGTGGTGTAAAGGTATAAAATAGTGAGGTTCATTTTCGGAAAGGAAGGACGTCGCAGGTTTGCGGTTTCTAGCATGAAAATGGTATCAGCATGTGAAATGTGCCGTATATATCGACGATACCGATCGAGCGTCAATAATTTGATCGATAGCCATATATTTGAGAGCGAGAGAAGCAAAGAGCATTCCAGATGGAATGGAGATTCTTACTTCTAAAATTTCCATCCCACTTTTTCAATTTGGAATTGCCACCTACCATTCCGCGTACTTTGAAGACAACGGTGATAACAAGAATGTTGCCAATGATACCAACTACTGCCAATGTTGCGAAGACAAATGCCATCGAGAACTTCACCCATGCTTCAGGTTCAGACGACTCAGTGATAACACTGAAGCACTCTGATGGGATTTCTGAAAAGTTTCAAAGTTATACCGATTTTGATGTCTCTACTCGAAAAAGTGCTTACGAAGCAATTCAATACATCAGATTAAGGGAATTACCTCCCGGCATTCTTTCAGTTCTTTTCTCAAATGCTGCTAATAATGTACATAACAGGCGACAATCCCTGACGGAATAGCCTACTGAAAGGCGTTAGTGGGATGGCACCGTATGGCGCGCTCGGCTGGCGTCATGAGACGTTGAAATCCCAAAAATGCCGTAAATAGAATTTGTGGGCTCGATCCGGAACATGTTCGATTAGCACCAAAACCTCTTTCTTCATGTGGCAACGAACTACTGAAGACTATGAATGTAAGACGAGTTCGTTTCTTCAGTACGAAATGGATAGCGCATCGAATAGAAACCGGTACTCATTGGTTAGGTGCAACGCTCGGTGAGCGTCGAGTTTTCGCCATCGCTTTCTACACTTGTAGATTTAGATTAGTAGACTTCTTGCCTCTATGCGCAACGTATCAAATGAGGGAACTCACTGATAGACTAGAAGCAACTGCTGTACTGATACTCTATGTACTTACACACAATCTTATCACTTTACTTGCTCTCAAAAAGTTTCCTGCGGGTTGAGCCTGTTGTATGTATTGCAGCTTCAATCTCTCCGCTTCAAAACAACACCATTTCATACAAAAAAAAAACTCAGTAGGGACAGAATATGCCTAAAGAATAGTGCATCGGATATGCAGCTTCTTAAACATCTATACAAGTGGTAAACGGCAACAGGTGATGCTTAGCAAATGAGAGACCCACTGTTGAGGTCAACAACAATGGGGAGCAGCTTTAAATGCGACGGTGAGAAATTTTTCAAAACAAGTATAACTTTGCTCATGTTCAGGCAAAGAAAACGTCCTTCTGGTTACTCAGTGTTACATAGGCATCAGAGAGATGGTTGTCATCACTCCAACAAACTTAACTATTGAATTCAATGCAGTTAGGAATTTCCTACTCCGATGGAAACATCTCACCACACACCAGACCCTGATCAGAAAGCCGCTAACACTACCGTGGCTTGAATTTCAACTTTCAGACAACTATCTACTATGCTGTACCTGACCCGATTGATACAAAAACCGAACAAAACTGAATTCCTCGAAGCGATCTAAGGATGACATACTCTTTTCATTCTTTACGCGAATTTCTCTTCAATATTCCTCCCAAGTTTGCTCCAAATCTCTCTTATTGTAGTATCGAAGAATTATACTTTTACATGGTACATGGAAGAGTTTTAACGATATCGAAGAAAACTCTGGTTACCGGTCAAACTGGATAATTCCATAGCAGCATCGATGTTCAAAGCTGGGCAAAGCGTGTTCAGTTGCTCTGCTGTGAATGTGGGCATTGCTGAAAGTTATTCGAAGTAAATTCGCTAAACTAGTAAATGAGCATCCTGTAGTTAGCAAACCACGAAAAAGGCGAGACAATAGAATAAATGGCTGCGATAGCCGGAAAATCTCGTACGCTGATCGCTCAAGCGGCAACAGAAAAACATCCCAGCCACTTGCAAGAAGTGAGAGGGCTCAGAGTTTCACCTGACTATCAAGTAATCGCCAATCAATTAATTGTTACAAGGAAGTATGTGAAGCTAATTCGAATAAAGATTAATCATGATGTTGACATTTAGTTGTTTCCATTGCCATCTTCACAAATATAAGAAACCAATTTTGGATGAGTCAAAATCCGTGCGAGTAAAAAACATATGAATTGATACGGTTCAGTGAATGCAAACAAAAATAGATTCCTTAGTCGCAATCGCAAAAAAAAAAAACAGATTTTGGAAAACGGTAAGGCAACGGAGCTGAGTTTGCGTTCTATTGACTTAGACTCGCCAGAAGAACCTGATCAAATCGATATAAGGCCAAAGTTCGATTATTTTTTGGTCCATGCTCTATTTTGACCAGAAGAAGCTGTTCAAACTTGCACCACTAAAGTCATCCTTTGCCTTGAGTATGGTTGAGATTGGATATTCAAATAAGAAGCTTCAAGTAAAACCAAGTGCTAGAACTAGGGGGTGGCTGAGTATGTATTCGGAGCAGATGTATTACTTAAGTTCCGAAGAAGTTGTGCGCAAAAAGTCTGGATGAGATCGCTTTTGATGTAATTCCAATCTGAAGAAAAAGAAAAAGAACTGTACACTGTCATAAGGCAATACCACAAATACCCGGACCGACACCGAAAAATCGTGTTATGCATATGATTGACAGTCAGAAATAGCCGTTAGACGATGTCCAGGAGAGACAGCAAAAGACTGGTTAAATTATTCGACGCATCCCCTTCGGTCTCGTTTTTTTGAGCACTGACAGGCAATCAGACTAACCTTGAGAAGTACCAGAAATATGTAGTAATATCGGTATGTGTAGTACAACCTAATTAGTAATGGATCACGAAAAATAGCTTCATAGTTAACACACTAAGTTCACATTTTAATGAACACGTTTCCATGCTTTTTTCATGCAGAACGCCATCTCTGACCATGGAATTCCAGATATCAATCAGTGGGAGTTTCAATCAGATAACTCAGAAGACGGATTTTCACAAATCGTGTTGCCTTTCAGGAAAGAAAGAATACGGCTTTTTTGCTGAGGCTTTCTGAGACGAACTTGTGAATCTAATCCACGACCAGGCGACATCCTTCGAAAAATGGACTACGACTGCTAGAATAATTTCCCATAAATAATCATCGGTCGTTGTTGTGTCACATTATATGTAACACTGTGAGCGATCCATTCTCTTGAAAATCAAGACTTCTATACAAATATTCTGACGAAAATACGAAATTCTAGAGAAGGGTTCACAAGGGGCATTCGAATGAAACAGCAGTGATAAAGAAACCGACGAGTTTCTCATAGAAAATTGAATGCAGATCTTGGGGTGAGAAATTAGCTAAGCAAACCTATCGTTCAACAAATTAATAGGAAATGAAAATAAGATCAATAGCAAGGCAATTTCATTCTAAAAGTTATCTGGAGCATTGTAAAAACCTGGTTGTCAAAATAGGAGCTTATAGATCAGAATCTGCGACAAATTCGAGATTATGAGGAACCCTTTCGATCAAGGAGAGCTAGTAAATGAGGAAATGAGAGCACACTTCGTTCGCCAGTATGCTATTCCGCGTGACACTGAGCAAATAATGAGGTCAGCCCGAGAAAGTTGAAGGAATAGAACAAAACAAAGCTTCTGGGTTGAGTCAGACCTGCGCTCTGTATAATCTGTCGTCAATCGTCATCATTCCCCGAAAACAGACGCGCAGTATTTGAACGAACCTATCCTCCAGCTGGTGTTTTCATGAAAGCAAAAGGAAGAGACCATCTCCACGTCACTGTGTTTGACATCAACTCAAGTTAGCTGGTGTGACTTGATTCCATGGGGAGAAAGACAAATTTTCTACCTTCAACTCGGCCACAGGTGGACATGGATCAATACTTGGAATATCGCATATTGTGTATGGAGATCAAATCCCACATCAACCCTCCATGCAGGCCTCCCATCCCTTAGTATCAGAGAATTGCTGCTAATCCAATATTTTTACTATTCAAATATAAAAGAAGTCATACGTGGCCGTCTTCGTCAACGGTTTTGGAAAGAGTCGCTTGCAACTATGTTTAATGAGATTTTTATGAAAAAGCGGGTGGTACCTGTTGCTCCCCTTACATCGAGGTTAGCAAATGTCGTTGAGTATTCCAACTACGTCTAGGTCGGAGAGTCAAGATGATGAATAACATGGTGCCAGAGCTGAGCAGAAAAAATGCACGGCGCGGATTGCATTTAAGAAAATTGAGGGAGAGCGGCCTAGGACATGTGGTGGACAATGCTTAAAATTCCTCACAGTACGCAAGTGCAGGAATCTGGAGTTTTGAGCTCAGTCAACTAACGAAGAACAGCGACGACGTTTCTCATAACGAAGAATCGAAAATCGCGTGCCGATACATCATGCGATTTTGTGACGACTACTGGACCAAGCGGTTCTGACTGGAGAACTCGGCGCGTCAAACGAACAACAGGACGGCAGCTATCACATTGGTCATACTTCTTCACGAAGGCTATGAGCAGAGTGATTGCTACTATTCCTCGTCTTCCGAACGGGCACGACTCTCGCTCACAACGGTAACGAAAGGAACGTGACTGCCGCCTGCCTGAGAGAATCGATGATCGACGGGACGAAGCTGGTGAAGCTGATGGTATTAAACAAATAGGAACAGTTGAATTTTCAGACGTGCAGTCGGCTTCTGCCGAGTTCTGGTTACAATTTTTGAAGTGAATGAGTGCATCAGAAATTTCACGAAGCTTTGATGAGGGCATACTTGGCCATCCAAGTGTTTACCATCGGAAAACCTTCACACATTACTATGCAAAACTCGCTCAGTTACTTTTTCATCAGTATAAGTTGTTTGACTAGGTATGGGAATCTTCAATCTTGGACTTTCATCGCAGCTGGTGAAGAGTCAGGTTGAATCTTACAGTTTTGTTTTTCCAATCCACTGTCCGTGCCTTTCATGAAATGCAGTTAAGAATATTCCCAGAAATAGAGGTTATGCGTTTTACTGACTAAATATAGGGAACTACTCATCATTTTGCAAAATGCACTTTAGTCCGTATATGCACGTATTCTATTATTTATGTTTAGCCATATTGCTTTTGAATTATGCTACGTTTGTCAAAATCGAACGCAACAGCTGAAAAAACTGTCTCAGAATCATAATTACTGAAAATAAGGTAAGCCTAAAATGAAACTGAGTCCTCGTTGGCTTTTTTGCATCACATAACTCTCGATCTATAGAATTTGCCTTTTTAGGAAAAACTTTGACATAAAACGTTGAGGAGGATGCTTACAAGTCAGTAGCTCATCAACTCATCACGGTTTTTAATTTAAATACGTCGGGGACGAGTTTTACCAGAACTCTCATCGCATCATTATTTATACTGTCTAGGAACGTCGGAAAAACCGGTCTCTTTGATACTCATTATTCCCTCTTGCTCAACTACCAAACTAACTACTTTCATCCCTCCTCTTGTCGATCCTGTCTCTTCAACACTTAAGTTAAAGCATGCGTAATGTAATGTGCAAGAGACAATGAAGAATCTTTCTGAGAAGGCTGCGTACTTCAATGAAAGATCCGCTCACTCTTGCGCACGTTTCGCCCACCATGAAAATGTATTCGCTCTACCTTCGATAGCCATCAAGCGTTTCTCCGGGCTTCCAGAATGTTTTGGAAAAGATAGCAAATTTCTCGAGAAAAGCACCTTCCGTGTGAGAATGGGGAAATTCTTGGCATCAGTTGGCAATAGAAAATCTACTGCTTTCCATTAGATCTCCGCTGCGGAACAGAAATTTCATTCGCTTAAATTCGAGAGAAATATTGAAAGGGGACATTCATGATGACTACGCGCTTGAAAAAGCTCTTTACTCTTGAGTACTGCATCCTTGACGCGCGATTTGCAGAAATGAAATCTCAGCGGAATTTCGAGTGACGCAGTGTCATGCATACGCAGCATGAAAAATGTCTGGGTTATTACCGAGTAAGATGGTGGATAAGCGGCTGTGGGTACGAGATGCATGCGTTAGCGTACGTAACCGAATTGGTGAATCTAAAATCTACCATTCATAACAAGTTCTCTTGCCCTCAGTCAATTATGATATAATAATCATTTCTATTAATGTCAAAATGTCAAAAAGTGCAACGAGGTAGAGCAAAAAATTAAAAGAGGAGAAAATAGCTAGTAATCACTTAGTTTTACCCGGGAAAAGTATGAAGGCGAGAAGAGCACTACGAGTTCCATCCCTCCCTTCCCACTTGCTTATCTTTTCCAAACAGAACCTGCACCATAAAGCACCTTCTTGTTTTCATCCCTGTTGCATTATTATTATTATGTATATATAGACCTGAATCGCTTTCGACACTAGAATTGCACATAATAATGGTCTAGGTGGTTTTTGATTCATATAAACCTGTTATTTGCGGACCCTATATACTTCGAAAACTACGAAGCAGATATCGGACAATTGCCTGAAAATTGGATACGTGGATGCTCCGATACTAGAAAACCTATGGAACAACTGAAGCTGGTTCAAACTATTTTTCCAACCATAGCTCGAATTTCATTAATTGTAATCAAAGTCGAGAGAGTTATCGGAAAATTCCGAGGAAAAAGAAACATCATTCAAAAGGAACAGGGTTCATGACCAGAAAGATGAAATCGTAAGAGGCGAGAGGATTAGGATCATCTTTCTGACACGAACAAGGAACAAGCTCTCCTCAGTGGATGGCGTCTTACGCCAAACAGCAAGAGCAGTTTGTGAAGAGATCTCATAAAACGTAGGAAAGCGTGAGGAATCAGGAATAT